CCCTCTTGGGCCATTGGACAACGACTTTGTCGTCGTCTTCATCAGCGACTGCAATTCTCATTTTGCTGTAGCATCGGCACTTGGAGCAGCTTTGGTCGTCAACGTTGGCCCACTTGTGCACCACATTGGGCAGCTCTTGAGTGGCTTCGCCGTGCGCCCAGTCCCCAGACAATCAAAACCAATTGCCTGGCCACCTGGGCATCATTCGCTCCAGCCAAGAGGCCGCTTATTGCAGGTCAGTTTCTAGCTGGAATGCGCCATAAATTCAAGAGTGTGACAAACAATCGCAGAAGATTTATTTAACATAAGCCAAACGGAGATTTTTACTGCATTTTATTTGTTTGGTTAAGTTATCAGGGCAAGGCTCGAAGCAACTCCCCGCCTTAAGTTGAGGTCCATTAAGCTGGTTTGCTGAAAACTTAAGCCCAGGTGTTAGTTCAAATTGTGGCTTGTTATTTATTTTCCAAGTTCTTATGAAACAATTTAATTTTAGAAATTCACAATTGCCCGTTGTACTGAAAATATTGCCAGCCGTAAATATTTTCATATACAAAATGCGGGCTAAATTTGATGCCAAGTCTTTAGAGGCAACGTCTTTTAAGAAATTGATGCCTCCTTTAAATGACTTTATTTCGAGCTTTTTAACCAAATTTGGTTCGATTCTCGTTTAAATGTTGAGCTGTTTTCAAAAATAATTTAGTTTATGTTTCGGTTCATAGTAAAAAAGACAATTTGAATCCTTGGCTCAGTCTTGTTAGCTATTTCCAAAAGTCTTCTAACTATATCAACTAGATATATAGTTGAGTAAGCAGGGCCAAGTAAATACAACAATTAGTTAAAAATACTAAGGAACTGTGGACTATATAATTGAAGTAATATACATATGTTATAGAAGGATCTAGCTTATTAAGAAATATGAACAAAGCAAGTGAGGAAAAGCATATGCTTTTAGCTTATCGCTCTGGCAGAGTATATAAGCGTTCATTTAGGTTTTTTGATCAGATTTGAACTTGTTAAAACGTAAATTTGCAACTACTTTATAATAAATAAATTCGACCTTAAATAATACAATTTAACTAGAATTGTCAAGATCATGAACTTCTTTAGAGACCAATTTGCTTAAAGTGTCTCATTTATGTGTCAAGCCATAAAACAAAGTACCTAACTTTTAAATTTCAAGTTCCTTCAAGCTCTATAAACACAAGAAAAGAAGATCAAAATATAAACACAAACTAGACTCATTTGAGTTGGAGCCATTGGCAAATCGAGGATATGCAAGCCATAAAAATGAATGCCCATCAATTAATTTGCAGCATAACAATAATACATAATACCCCTCACATTATAATAGATCTATGGACCACTTAAGCCAGACAGCAGCTAATCAAAGTCAGTCATAAGTCCGACTTAGGTAAATATATAATCTGCGAGAAAATACAAGCGCAATGAGGAAGTGATTTGATTAATGCACAGCAATTCATTCATATACCAAGTGGCAGGCTGCTAGGCAAGTTCGTTTCCTGAGTCTTTTCACAAATTTGTCACAAAAATTAAATATTGTTTGCGCTGTGACACAAAAAGCCGCCGAGACAAAAATGCAAATGCTGTTCGAGAAAAATGCAAGAAAATGCAGCCATGTGCAACACGAAAAGCCAAGGAAGCAGCCCAAAAAGCGCACAAATTTCCGCAATTTTCAAAGCTGAAAACCGCAAAAAAAAAAAACAAAAAACAAAAAACAAACAAAAAAAATAAAACAACTGCTGGCTGCAAGTTGTGAAAACTAAATGTTGCATAATGAAATGGATGCGCGAAATGTGCAACGCCCTGCCCCAGCACCCCGACCAGTCGCAACACACCCCCCCCCCCCCCCCCCCCCCCCCTACACCCGACCCCCTTAACGCGGCAGATGCCACGGCAAAAGAAGCTGAAAACTTGCCAAACTCCCAAGACGGGGTTTTTTTTTTTAATTTTATTATTGTTGCTGCTGTTTTTGTTGCAACTGCCACAGAGTGTGGCACAAACGCAACTGAACTTGTTATGTACTTTTTCGTATGCTATATATGACAGTTGAAAAAAAAACGATTGAAAAGAAGAGAAACAAATAGAAACCCGCCAGAAAAGCCAAAACAATAAACATGAAATATTTTAAGGCCTGAGCGCGTCGTGACCAAGTTTGGATTTTCAGCCACCGAAATTCACTTTCAAATGCCTCGACGGACACTCGTAAATCCATGTATACAACTATTTATGTTTTATCTAAAATGATTTTTGGTTTACTTCTTTTTCTTCTTTGCTTTGTTTATCTGTAGGGCTTTTTATGGGCATCGCGTGCGGTGATAAATCTTGCTCTCGATATTTAATGACAGCTGCGCGTGTTTTCTTGTCGCCGAAGCAGCAGATACCCTTCCAGACATAAATTATTTATATAACTTCTATAGCTATCAGGCTGCAAAATATATTAATTCTAAAATGTTCTAATATTTATTCAATTGTTTTACAAATTTAAATCAATTATTTGCCTGCTCAAAGTATTTACATAAATTATACAATTTTCCGCCAGCGTATTCAGAGCTGTTAGTAAATTATTTTCGAATAGTTGTTGATCATTATGTGCGTTTAGAAAATATGAAATTAGTCGCAGATACTTAACTAGAAATGGCCTTCACTTTGCAATTTGCCGTTGCTTTTGGCCCAGTTGCGCGTTGCTTGCATAAGAAAATTGTTTGGCTCCATGTGGAGGCTAGCGGGCATATTATGCCATATCAAAAAAACAAAAAAAAAAAAAACAAATTGCTTTGCCCAGATTAAAATCATATTTGAATCTAATTGACGCCTAATAAGCACAGTTTTCACCTTGAACGAAATGCCATTAAATCGTTTTTAAGACTTCACTTTTGACTTAAAGTTGAGATTGATTGTTTGATACCCACAATTTATCTGGTATTTTATTTGATCAATAAGTTGTTATAGAATAATAAATCAATACTAGTAGAAAGTAGAAGATTTAATACCCTTAAAAACATTTCCCTTTTGCAGATATGTGCAAAAGATCTTTCCCTTAGCAGATATATGATATAGCGGTCCTTGGTTGATAAGATCTTGCAGATATATGAGAATCATAATGAAACTTATCATTTTTCGAGTTTGATCAAGTTATGTTAAAATTAACAAATTTTACAGATCAGCACCAACTTTTCGGCCAATTGTTCCTATGTGGCATTGATATAGATTTACAGTTTGGGTAAGATATCTTGATTAACAAAAAAGTTTTCAGTACAAATTCCTAATTTTCGACCGATCATTCTTTTAGCAGCTATGTAATATATTTAGTTATCCGATGTTGGTTAGATTTTGCAAATATGCGAGGTGCATTGTGAAACTTATAAATGCATAGTTTGACTAAGATATCTGGATAAACCGAAAAGTTCTTAGTACCCAAACTGTTAATATTGATCTAGAATGCGTGTACCTAATGGAGTCGAAGAAGTCTCCTTCTCTACGTAACACATTTTATGATGAAATTATAATACCCTTATTTATTTGTTTTAAAAATTGAATTTATAAGCAAACCCAAATTGTTTCATCTTTTACCTGCGCCTGCACGTGAGCAAGCGCCATGGAAAGCAAATTTAAATATCTTTATTACCTCGTTAACTACTTTAAACTGGAACAGCAAAAACAAACAAAAGAGAAAAAGGTAAACTTACCCTATAAACGCCATCAACGAGCTTTGTAATTTCTTCGGCCTCCATTGTTGGGCTTTTCGGACGTGGATTCAAATTCGACTACGGCTCTATCGATGAATGGGCAGAGGCAACCCGAAGTCTGGCTGTCTGTCTGCAGCTACTGGGAATTGAGGATTGAAGCGGCAAATTCACTTTCAGCTGCAGCGCCCAGAGGCAGGTCTGACGGAATGGGACTGCACTCGATTTTCACTTTCTAAAGTGGCACAAACATGTACACACACACACTGGCACGCACACACTGGCACACACACGCTGGCGCTCAAAGACGTTGAACCGGGCCAAAATGTAAACTTGTAACTTTGACTTTCGGCGCAGAATCTTGGAAATCTTGTTTTGAACCGCTTTGGATAATGTCGTGACTTTCTTTTCGGCGGCCACACGAAGCTACGGCCACGTAACCAACTAAATTAAATGCCAACACGATAAACGAGCCAACTGTTTGTCGGCTTTCAGCTTCTCGACGGCTTTTTTCTTTTTCTGCTAGACTTAGCGTTTCGAGTATTTGTTTGCACGACAACTTTTCGGCTACTTCTGCCGAATTACACGAACTACAGTTTCCGATACGTGAGCTGAGCTGATTGAGTTATTATCAAAGGCACTGTAAACAGAAAGAGAAGATTGGAAATTAAGTATTTGACATTGAAACCAAGTGTCGGCATTATAAAAGAAATTTGATTTAATTATACGTAAAATAAAGTCGATCTATACATGCATTTATATATATTTATATTTATATAATATCTCTTAGAATCGTCCACTTTTAAATATTGCCCTTCTACGCGATTCTCATGATGCCAAGTAAGCCATACAACCTTTCATGCTATGATTATTATTGATTTTGTCTCTGCTTTCTCGCTCTCTCTCTCTTTGTCTCTTTCTCACGATCCCCCATTTTGGGTAAGTACACATCTATATATATATATTAAAATATAAATTAGAATACATCTTAATGTATTTTAGAACTTAGTTAAAAGCTTTTAAAGACTTGAACAGAGCTCTAGTACTATGCAGGAAAATATTATCACCAGCCAGATTGTAAATAATAGAAAACTTCCTACTAAACTTACAAGCAAGCTAACAGCAATAAAATACCACAATTCAGTATATACTTCCATGAGCAAAAATCCACTAAAATATACCTTGGAAACCTAACGCCAATTGAGAGTTCTATGAAGCAACCGCATTGTTTGATCGATATTCAAAACAGTTTTTGGTGTGTGCCTCACTTCAGTTGGAAAATAAAAATATTACAAAATGAGTAAACTGGATGATCTTTTGGCCAAGAAGAAAACTGTGGTGCCAGTTTTAGATCTGAGCCGCAGCAATATCCAATCAATTGAGGAGTTCAAGAGGCTAATGGAAAAGGTGCCAGACTATAAGATGCGTCCGATTAAAGTGCGTGCCGAGGAAATAAAGATACGGGAAAAGGATTATTCCTTCAAAATGCCCAAAAAGGAGATGCGCAAGCTACTGAAGCATAACGGGGAGCGGGAGGCGCTTTACACCTATGCCGATCCAATGCCCAGCGAAATGAAGGATGTTGTGCTCATGGAACTGTGCGCTGTGCCCATCGACTGGAAAATGTTGACCACGCTGCGACCCAAGTCCAAGCTGGAAGAGGAGTACTTCAGTCGCATGGTCGAGATGGGCAAGCTGGAACTGAAGACCGAAGCACGGGACAGGCGCGAATTCGCACTAAACAATTGCATCAGGAAAATCAAAAACAAATCGGGCATTGTGGAAACGCGCCTCATCACCTGCGAATCGTGCGGCGAGGAAATGTGCTGGGGTAAGTAGCACAAGTAATAATATTTGAACTGTTATCACTTAAAAGTATTACAGGTAAATGGTGTGGAGACTTCAACTACGATTTGTATGTGCGCGTTGAGGCCAAAGTGCTTAAGCCGAAGCCCCTGGCGAATACGGCCAACAAAACAAAGCTCAATGGACGCAAGAAATCGACCATAGTTTCCACCAAAATTAAAGTCAAGAAGTCACCAAGTGCAAAACAAAATTAAAGCGCCCACAACTACAATTTTTACCTTTTTACATGACCAACATTTGAGTAATTGCTTGTCATTAATGCGTTGTGTTTGTTGACCAGAGAATTACAACATAAATTTAAATTAATTAAACTGAAATACTCGCCTTGCTCTCAACTGTTCTATTTATTCCAAGCGAACAGTTCTGGTAAATAACAGACTCTCGGTAAGTCAATTTCTAAGCGAATTGCAGCATTCTCACACTGCTTAACAGAGTCCTAACATAGGCGGCATAACATTACGCTGTTAACGTTGATAACATGCAATCAGAATTAGGTTATGTCGCATTATTTCTGCTCAATGGAAAATTTATTCAAAAGAAAAATATTAATAAGTGATAAGTAGGGTAGATGCCACAAGATTCGTAAATTCCCCAAAATGCAAAACAGTAGAAATTTTCAAAACAGTCAGAAAGACAAACATTTAGCCGGCACAACAAAAAACAAGAGCAACAACAACAATAAAAGCCAAAAGCAACGCTCAAAATGAAATGGCTAAAATATTTAAATTGCCACTAAACAACAACGGAGGCAAATGGCCATTAAGGCAACATAAACAAGCCAAGTCTGAGGCCGACGCGCGTTGGCGACAACGTTCCCAGTGGCAGCCCCCACATGGTCGCGCCACTTGCTTGTGCAACGATTTGTGCAAGCCTCCAACTCTTGTTCTTCCTCTCTCTCCCCCTCCTCTCTCCCTCTCAGTCGCTCGAGAAGAATGCATTGGCTGTGTCTCCGCCAGCGCTTGCACAGCTTTTGATTACTAATGAGTTCAGTTCAATTGAGTTCGGTTCGGTTTCTGTTTCTGTTTCGGTTAGCCGATAGCTCTGATTTATGTGCTTTATTTATGGAAATCTCTATTCGCGTTGAAATTGAAAATTTACTTTGAATATCAAATTTATAGCATAGCACAGCATGTAGCCAACATGAAGTTTGGCCCTCCGAGAGTGGAATTTCAATTTGAACAGCACCAACATTTTAGCATGAAGGTTCTGTAATATGCCCAATCAAAAAAGAAGGGAACTCGCGCAGAAGCTACTCTCTAGCTCTAGGAGAATTAAAGCCTTGGCGGCTGATATCAATAGTAAAGGGTATCGACACGGAAGTCTTTGAATTCAATTGAAATGTTGGCATTGTCTTGTTAAACTTTCAACGCGTCAACAAGTGCTGGGCCTAAGCTACTTTCAGATCGTGTCATCCATCTATAAGCTGAAGACGTGCCGGCGATTACGTGGGCACAAGTCTCGTTGCTGTAAGGAAAATGAAATGATACTCAAATAAAAAACAAAAAAAAAATAATAATAATAACGTAAAAATAAGAGTAACAGTAATGAAAACGCGAAGAAAACGCATGGAAATCTTACGAAATCGATTTCGAGCTGACGTATTTCCAGATTTCAAGACGTAAGATAAACAATCTGGAGATGAGCCCAAGTGAGAGTGCAGACTCGCGAGTGGGAAAGAAAGTGTTTGCTTTTAGTAGATAGATTTCACGTGTGTATCTTTCAGTTTGTCGCCACGCCCCGCTGCGCCCCAGTTAGAATTTCCATGATGGCTAAACAAAAGACTTAGGCAACGAACTGGCGAGGCATACAACATTCCACAGGCACTCGCAAGGCTGCCGCTTGCGGTCAGCACTGACAGCCAATACCCTGAGATACTGTAGCTGCAACTGCAGCTGCAGCTGAAGCTGAGACTGCGCTGCACAGCGCGTAGCTCGATTACGAGTATCTTGCAGATGCACAACGATAGAGTCTCGGGCTCGTACTTGCACTTGCCGCCTTTTCGCTCAATTTATGAGCCAACTGGCTGGCAGGCGGCGTTTAATTACGAGTCTGCTATGCAAAAACGTTGTTTAACAATTAAGAACAAGGCTAACTTGACAATCTGGCCAGCCCAGCTCGATAGACAGCCGGCAGCTGCAGTTAAAAAACTTGTCCACTTGACTGACCATGATAACAGCACAACGAATGGAATTCTAACTGAAAATACCAATGTTTGTTTTCTAATTATTTTGATGCTGTGTTTATTAACTTAATCTATGATTATTCAAAGTCGATCTAGTTACCAACTGGAATTAGCAGAAGATCTGTGCTGCCTTCCAATTCAAGTTTTATACTCATATTCCCTTTAGTTTGGAAATCGAACATAAACTCATGATATATGACTTCCCTTTCCTGCCCGGAGAATCTTCAGTTCCGCATCGATTTGTTAGAGGTTTTGTTTGGTTTGGGTTTTTGGAAAACTTTCGCCAAATCGACAAAAGTCAACAACAATTTTCCAAACATCAGCTAGACAGACAACTTTAGGCAGCTGTCCAACAGCAACAACAACAAACGGTTAAGGCCAAAGAGGCAGGCATGCAGTCAGACGCAGCTTGGTGAGGCACAAAACCCTGGGCTGTTATTATCAAATGCTCATCATTAACATTTGCTGGCTGCTGTTGCGGACTGAGTGGAGTGGATTCGAGCTGCGCCGAGATCTCGACGTTACGATCAAATTGCAGCACATGCGAACACACGTGTGACGGTGACGGCGACGACTCGCTGGGTAGCACAAAAAGATTGTTGTTGTGAAAATGAAATTAAGCTAAAGACTGAAAACTGAAGACGCCAACGGGCTGAACATTGTAACAGGCAATGCACAGACATGAACAGATCGAAGGGGCGGCGGGAGCAGGCGGGGCTGAGCGCTAAATTGCCGCCAGATACATTTGCAAATGAGTCTTAGACATAACAGCAACAACAACAACAACAACAACAAAACAAGAAATAAAAACAATAACATTGTAAGCCGATGCAAATTGAGAGGCAAAGAGTCTGCGGCGCCCATTGCCCCCTCTAGCCGTACAAATTATATTGGCAGTGAAAGTAAAAGTTTAAGTTATTTTCTTTGGGCTGTCGAACCGAACTCATAACCAAAAGGTGCAAAAAACAGCACTGAGGTCTTCAAATCAAATTAACATATTTCTAGTTTTTGCTCTGCAGCAACTATTTCAGGCGGTGTTAACAATTGCTTTAAATTGGCATCTTTCAAATAGTTAAGACATGTTAAAAAACAAACACAAGCTGACAACAAGCCAGAGACAAGCAGATAAAACACACAGCTTTAAGAAATGTCGCTTAGTTAACCCAAAAATGTTATTTAGGAAACTTATTGTTTTACAGGGTATCTGCCTGTCAATCGCAGCTTTTTTTACCCTACCTGCCAATACATATAACCTGCCAATACATATAACATGCTTACAGGGTATCTTGCAGTCAAACGCCGGCTTAAATGCCTAATGACTACCTCCCAATACATATAACGTGCTTACAGGGTATCCGACAGTCAAATGTCTTCTTAACAGCCTATTGACTCTTCATCCCAACATATATAACGTGCTTACAGGGTATCCGGCAGTCAAACACCGGGTTAAAAGCCTAATGACTCTACCTCCCAATACATATAACATGCATACAGGGTATCTGTGCAGTCAAACCCCGGTAAAACAGCCTCTTGACTCTACTTAACAATACATATAACGTGCTTACAGGGTATCTGGCAGTCAAGTGCCATCTTAACAACCTCTTGACTCTACTTTACAATACATATAACGTGCTTACAGGGTATCCGACAGTCAAGTGCCATCTTAGCAGCCTATTGACTCTACCTCCCAATACATATAATTTACAGGGTAACTGGCAGCGTTTTAGTCTTTCGCCCAACAGAGCCAAAGCTAAAAAAAGAAGCATAAACAATTTCTGGCGGCGTTCTATTAACCCACTAGCCGTTGCTGTTGCCGCAGTTGTCTCGTAATTGGCCACACCTAGCACCGCCTATCCATGGGTAGCTTCGACCCGGACCCGATCGTGACTTCATTTTGCAACGTTGCGCACGTAGCTGCCGCATTTCTGGAATCTCTGAATGTTGTTGCTGAGAGCAGAGCCGTCATAAATTAGGTGTAGATGGCATCTCAAAGTGCCGTCCCGGCATCCTCCCCGCATCCACACACACAAGTCTCGTTGCACACAACAGCTGGATGGGTGTGACTGTACTATAAGACTAGGATGTGACTAAGAGGAGAGACTGAACTAGCATTGACAATTAATATGGACTTTGTTTCAATATCTTGTCAGGGAGAGTGTGTGAGAAGATAATATAGTTTATTTGTATCTTGTGTTATTAAATGTATGTCTTTCTGTTCTATTTTTGCTGCATTCTCACAGTTCAGTACATGTTCAAAGCTGCCCTTAACATTAATGCTTAACATACTCTGTTAAGTTACATGGGAACTGCTGCAAGAGTGACCGTGTGCACTTCTGTTAATACATGCTATTGATAATGTGACGTCACGATCTTACCACGTAACATATTATGTCTGAACAAGTTTTGAATATGCATCGAATTTGTTGTTTTCTTTTTGGGATAATTATACCCGTATAAAAGGTTCTAATATTTTGTCATGATATGTGTAACGCATAGAAAGAGACACATATATGTAGATCAGCATCAACAACTTAGTTGATGTATCCGTCTGTCTGTTTCTATGTATTGTTCTCCCAGCTTTCTGTTGCATGCGGGATATACATATCGGAACCAGCCGGATCAGATCATCTTAGAAACGATCGGTCGAGAAGAAGGTTCTAGTACGAGCAACTTTTGAGTTGCTCAAAACTCGCTTGCTATCAGAGCCCGTAGATCATATAGCTGCCATATGTACGATCGGTTAAGATATCTTGACGAACCTTGGCACTTGCTAGTTTCATTATGCTGCCTATATAATGAGCCAAATCTTATCAAGATCGTACTACTATATTCTGCAATTCTATAATCGAATCGGTCGATAAGCATGTTTGTGCTTGGACAACTTTTCAGCCTTCGTCAAACTCAAAAATTTGTAACAGTTGTTGCACCTTTAAAAGAAATTGATTAATTTGATTTCTCGTTTTGACTTTTTTCAAAGAGCTTTCCCAATCCCAAAATATGCCATCCGACATC